CAGCCCTCACCAACTTGCTGCGTGTATGGACTTTACATTTTAAATGCTGAGCCTCATTTGAGTCTTAATTTGTCTAGTTTTAACTTCCAGACACTAGATGTTGTCATAAACCCTGCCTGTGAAGAAATAAAAAACAAAGAGATGAAGTTGCAAGAGCATGCTCTGGGTAAGATTGATCTCGCCTAAATCCCGATATTGCAGTGCATAGCATCACTCATACCTTCCTTTAAGGACAGCACAGCCAACAGCCATTTTTAGGCTACTTGATCTGTTTGTAGACACCTGCATTGGATTGTCCATAGCAAACACTGACCTGCAGCTCATTTGACCAGCTGAGCACACAATGTAGAGTGCTCCTCATTGCCCACCCAGTCACTGGTAAGTGCAGTTCCATAGCGCAATGCCAAGAATCACCCTCACTAGAGGTTCTGATACTTGATGGTAATTTCCTGCTTGTAATTACATTTCAAACCTGCCAGTTGTTAATCTACCTAATGCACATGACATTATTTTGTATGGTTCTTCTTTCTTAATCAAATTTCAGTCTGATACCATCTCAGATGCTCCAAAGATGAACTGTAAAAATGTCAAAGAAAGGCAAGACAATGCCTCAGGGTATCTCAGTGGCTCAGTGGCTCCCACCAGCCCAGGCAACAACAGAGTACTGCTGGATGCTGGTGTTTGCTGCTTTATGTAGCAGCTGTGCAGGCTGAGAAAAGTTAATGAAAACTGAAACCATATAGAGTCATTGTCACAGACACTTCTAAGGGTCAGAGGAGGTAAATCCATGTGTGGAGAGGTAAACTGGGGCCCTGCAGTGCCCAAGTGAATTTTTTATAAATGGGGGAAAGAAAAATAAAGGAATACTGAACTGTAGGCTGTAACCCATGAACAGAATGGCTCCATGTGAGCTGGGTCACTATCCCCCACACTAGCAACACCTCAAGGACCTTGTGTCTGCTGGACTGGAACAACTAGGCATTTGGGCATTAAATATAGGACAGAAATACTTTTATATTTATTTTACTTGCAGCTAATTGCTTCCAAAACTTTGTCTGACCTTGATGAATGTTTTCTTTTTAAGCTTGCTGGGGGATGTTCGGAGGAGAGAGTCATACAAGGATGGAAAATGGTAAACATTCATGAGAGTTACAGTAATTGTGTCTTTGCCATTTTCCTCGCTTCACACAAAGCAGAGCGCTGTTAGTGGTATGAAATTTAGGGAAGCTTTGCAAGGGCCAAGTATGGCTGAGTATGCCAGATACCCCTGACAGCAAAGACTCTCATGTTTGAAGTCTCTGTGAGTTTCTGTGGTGACACTGGGTGGTAACATGGTGGCGGTGGTGACACTCTTCAGCAGTGTCTTTCACTGCTCTCTCAGAAAATTATGGATCTGTTGCCTGCTGTCCTGGCTTAGGGCAAATTTGGGAGGAAACTTCCAAAGGGGTCCCTCTAGAAAGCAGATTCAAGCAGCTCTCTACTGGTTCAGGAAAAGATTTCCTTGGAGAAAGGTGGAAAAAACCTGTTTATTTAACAAGCAAAGTATTCACAAGCATGAAAAATGAATAATATTAAACAATAAAACCTCTCACTGTTCTGAAGAGATGGCAAATTCAGAAAGTCCTTGTTGTGGGGTGTAGCTCAGCTCGCTCAGGTCTCTTATCAGTCCCTCCAGTGCTGGAAAATGCTGCGTCCTGGGCCCTGGTGGGCCACAAGTGTGAGTTCCTGGTGCTCTTCTGGGTTTTCAGTCCAGAGCAGGGCCAATCAGTTCCAGGAAAAGAAAAACCACAGTCCAGGGAACTTCTCTGCCTCAGCTAGCTAAAAAAACTAAATAACATGCAAAGGACAGCTCTCTCCCTCTGCCTGTCTGTGCTGCAGACAACACAGTCTGTGAGAAGGAAAGCTCTTATCGCTATGTTTTTGAATACAGCCACCTCAGAGGTTCCACTGCTTCTCCTCCTCCCCCCCTTCACTCTCAGATCTACTTTTAAGAGTGCAAAACTTATTTCTGGGCTAAACAGACAAATGAGGATACAATTCAGCATCATAAAGTCACCCCAGGACACCTGCCATGCCAAGCCTGTTAGCACAGAAAGGCTTCAGTATCAAACTTTGGGTCTCTGCAGGGTAAAAGCAGAAGTTGAGCACAACAGTGGCATGAACAGGTATCTTGAGATGTAGGCATTTGCCTGTCAGAGCTGCTCTGTGGGATGGATCCTGGGCTGCATCCAAAGCAGCATGGTCTGTAGGGTGAGGGAAGGGATTCTGCCTCGCTGCTCTGCTCAGGTGAGACCCCACCTGCAGTGCTGTGTACAGCTCTGGGGTCCCAGTGCAGGAAAGATGTGCTGAGAGTGGGTCCAGAGGAAGCCACAATGATCAGAGGGATGGAGCACCTCTTCTAGGAGACAGTCTGAGAGATTTGGGGTCACTCAGCCTGGAGAAGAGAAGACTTCACGGAGTCTTCATTGCAGCCTTCAAATACCTTAAGTGGGGCTTATAAAAAGGAGGGAAAGGGACTTTTTGTATGAGCAGATAGTGATAGGACAAGGGACAGTATTTTTAAAATGAAAGAGAGTATTTTTAGATTAGATAATAAATTCTTTACTCAAAGATTGGTGAAGCACAGGAACAGATTGCCCAGTTGTGGATACCCAATCTCTGGAAGTGCTCAAGGTCAGGTTGCTAGTAAGCAGCATCCCTGCCCATGGCAGGGGGCTTGGAACAAAATGATCTTTAAGGTCTCTTCCAAGCCCTTAACATTCTTTGGTGCTATGGTCAGGAAATAGGGTGATGATCTTAGCATGAGGACATTGCGGTTTCACTCTTATCTGGGTCATGCAGCAGATCTGTGCCCTGGTTCAAATGCAGCATGTCAGCTTGATCTGCACCACATAGGGAGATGGACAGGTCCCCAAACTAGGTCACCCCTAAATCTCTCAGGGGAGTATGCTTGAATCAGCATCCAGCAACTGTGATTTAACAAGAACCCTGTTCTCCTGGCACGGAGGTAATGATAGCTTTGGTGCCTCCCTTTCCTAAGCACAGCCTCACAGGCTCCCACTCAAATCACTGCTGTGTGAAAGACTCCCGTGGGTGACTGCCTAGGGCCATAGTCAGTGGCAAAACTCTTGATTTTTAAACCAGGTTGGTTTTTTTTTCCCTTTTCTAGACACATTATAATTAATATTTCATGGCAGTCTCTAGACACATAGGAGAGAATTCCTAGTCTTGGTTTAACAAAGTATATCAACAGGACTGTTGTGCATTGGAAGGTTAGTGCACCCAGGTGTTCACTAACACTAGTACAAAACATAAGGTTATGTGATGTTTTTCTGATGAGGAGCAGAATCTCCACCTTGCTGAGGATGGATATTTTAAAAGAGATGAATGATCCTCCACAGGGAGCAGAGTCCTTCTCCTGAGAGAAAACAGTTGCCTTGGTACGATTCAGAGTCTCATGGCTCCTTGCTGAACTTGCTGAAGTAATGCAATAGCTCAAGTGGAACTTCTAACCTTGTGCACACACATGCTGGAAATAAATCATAGAGCAGCACCTTGTTTTCACCTCAGCAGCTCACTTGACTGTGAGGATTACTCTGCTACAGGATATTTTGGTTATATGGTTTATGGTTATTTTGGTTTAGCAAATATCTTCCTTTCAATAGTGCCAGGTTGTTCCACTCACAGCAGCTCCCACAATCACTTTGGGAAGGTACTGTGAGTGTGGTTCCTGCTGGCTCTGGTGCGTGGATTGCAAATGACCCCTGGTAAGATGCTAGACAGCTGATGAGGAAAGTATAAAATGACAGCCATTTGTGAGCCATTACTATAGAATCATCCTGAATCTATAATTCAGCTCTCATATTAATGATCCATCTCACTGAGGGATATTCTCAGTCCATCAGACTTCAGGCTAGAGTCCAAACTCACTATTTATCTGGGTTTCTTGTCTTCCAAGCCATTAAGAATTTATGCAAACAAGGTATTGGGAGCTTTTCTGTACACATCTGTGGCTTGAATCTTCTGGGATCTTGCCTTCAGGATTTTAGGATTTTATGTCCCTTCAGGAAAGTTTAGGATCGGTTTCCAGCACCTTTCTGTCATCCCAGTCCTCTGAGTCCTCACACACCAGTTTGTCTGTGTTACACACCATCTTGTTGCTGTGCCAGGGTAAAATCTTGACATAAGTGATTTAACAGGTTTTAGACAAAATTCATCCAATAAGTCTGTCTGGCACCTCTGTTTTTCTACCTGGTTACATTTCTGTAAATAGTAGTTATGTGAATCTTAGTGAATAGTTAAGGGCTGTTGCTTTATCTTGCTTACCTGTTGCTGCCCTACTAGGTTGTATAGAGGGGATGTCTCACACATTCCCCAGATGACAGATCCACTGGCAGATACTGCAGTGGGGAGAGACGTGCAAAAAACTTCTGCAGTATGAAGGAAAGCTTTGTAAAGCATACAAGGAATGGTGCAGAACTGATATTACTGCTGCACTGCCGTGTCAGTTGCACTGCTTTCAGTAATTTGTGTTTTCAGAGGTTTGATGTGCTTCCCCAGGGATGATTATGCTAAACCCCATGCTGTGTAATGGCAACAGGTCTGCTCATCTTTTTTTTTTTTTTTTTTTTTTTTTAATCAAGAATACCCAATCTATCAGACATTAATTTGTGGTGAGAAAAATATGTGACTTGGGAACACCCTAAGTGTTGGAGCAGGATTATAGCTTTATAGCTTTGCTTTCAGGTGGAATGCCAGGGGCATCTCGAAGCAAGCACTGCTGGGGCCCAAGGTGTCCCATGGTCACCACCACAAGATCGTGCTCCATAACCATGTGACTTTAATCACTGCTGACTTCAAACTCACATATTCTTGGATGAACAGAATGCCTCTTTATTTCTCTTTAAATAAATCATTAGTGAAGAAAGCAAAGAGTGATGCTCTCTGTGCCACACTCTAACTGCTGAACACACTGTGGCCTTTCAAATGAAGCCCCACATTTAATCATGGTTCTCTTCTGGAGCAGTGGTTGGCAAATGGTCCTGTTTCTCCACCTGCTGCAAGGGGATGAGGATGGCAGTTCCCCTCATGACATTGCAAACATCCCAGCTGCGAGGGAGGAGGTTTCTCTGAAACAAAAACTCGGCCAAGTGTGAAACAGCGAGGATTGTGCCCGAGGTGAGAAGCACGGTGAATGTTTTAAAGGGAAAGAGCTGGCTGTAGGTCCCGTTCACCAGGGAGCAGGCTGGGTAGTGGATGACAGGGGGGATGCTCAAGGCAGGCTCCCCTGCCAGTAGCCTCAACAGGAGCCCAACCAAAAAGCCAGCAGCTGATCCATAGGTGTTTGTGCTGGGTGCAAAGAGGGCACAGCAGAGCTGGGGGAAGAGGAGGGCGTACACCAGCTCCCCGCTGAGGAACCAGAGGTCATAGATAGAGCTGGAGTAAGAAGCCAGGCCAGCTGCCCCAGCCCCAAACACCAACATGGAGGTCCTCATGGCCCACAACACCTCTGTCTCTGAAGCCTGTAAAGCAGAGATTGCAGCATTAGAGACACAGTGTTTTCTGGCAGGATGGCCAGTACTGCCCTGGCCTGGGCTCGTTCTCCCCAAGCCCTTGATGCTTTCAGGCACCACTTGCCAACAGCAGCCAGGCACGGCTGCCACCCCAGGAGGGGCCCTCTGATTTTAAGGGTGATGGTTTTATGCTGTTTCCATTAATACCTTAGTCCAAATTTTGCACTAGTCATGCTAGAATGAGCAAAGCACACCAGTATGGGTATTGGTACCCCTGCCAAGGATATGAACATCCCTGGCTTATGTTTGGAGCTCTATCTCCAGAAATCAGTTCAGCAGCTGAAGGACACACACCTCCAGTCACAGACTGGTTTAGAAATAATTGTGAAACAAGACTGTCTTTCCCTGACACCAAAGCTACTGGTACCTTTTTCCTCAGGATTTTTCTGTAGATATTGTGAGCGAACATGGAGCCAGTGGAGAGAAGAGCTGAATCTGCAGAAGACATCGAAGCAGCAGCAATGGCTCCCAAACCAGTAATGGAGATATATGCTGGGCAGAGATGTTGTAAAACAAGTGGTAGTATCATCGCTGACTCCCCTCTCTCGAATGGACTTGGAAGACCATAGCTTGTCTGGTTCCAGTCTTTAAAACAAAACGAGGAAATGTCACAACAAATCCTTCATGGATATTTCGGCTGGCTTTGAAATTGCCTTTTCACAGGGGCCAGTCACAGAAAGGTTAAGAACTGAGATCCACTCAGTATTTTAGGACTTAGATTTATTTTTTTTGGTTCTTTTGTGAACTTTTGTGATTCCTCTTAGCATGCTGCAGCTCTCACTAGATCAAAAAATTCCCCTTTTCCTCAGAAGCATCTATAGAAACAGGTGGGCTTTGTGTGATTCCAGAATTGGCTCAATTAAAGGTCAACCTCTAGACACTGCTCATGAGGAGAAAGGAATCAGATGAAGTCATGACTTCAGCTGATTTCCTTAAATGTTCAGTGATCTGGCTGCACTTTTACCCTTGCTCACTGCCAACACAAAACTGATTTCCTGCGTGGAGACTGTGAGTTTACAGGACTGAACTTCTCGATTCCTTCAAGCAAGAACCTTATTAACAATCTGTACTAATGTTGCTGGGTCTTACATGTCTGAGGCATGAACAGAAGGTTGCATAAAGTTTCTTCTCCAATAAGGTTATACAAGGTTTTAGAGAGTCTGACTTCATCCTTCCTCAACACAAAGTCTGGGGAAAGTAATTTCATCATAAGTAAATAGCTTTAAAAAGATCTTGGGGCTGGTTAAATGTCTCTAAGTAGTTGTGCAGTGTACCTCAGAGGGCTCCACATTTTCTGGTATGGATCACCTATCTTGGTGTCGAGGACCATGGGATGGGGTAATTTCAAGTCTCTAAAAGGACTTCTTTGGATCCCATTTTAATCATTGCCAAAACCACACTGAGTACTCAGAGAGAAACGACTCATTTTACCTGTTGATGCTGCGACTGCCCCAATGAGCACGGAGGGGATGGCCATTGCAAAGCAGCCGAGTCCAGAGAGGTAGGAGATGAGCCTTGCCTGTCCTGTCGAGGCAGCAGAGAGCACCCTTTGGAAGTAAGTCTGCCACGGGATGCTTCCAAGCACCTGAAACATTCATTGGTTACCAGTGGTACCCACCAGGCTGCTGCTAATCTTTAGTGTTATCAAATTCTCATTTCAAGTGCATAAATATTGCCCAGCTCTAACTCTTGAGGATAATATTTCTGATATTTGAGAATTCCCTTTTCCTTTGTTTTCATTGCGATGGCTATGAAATTTTAATGAAAACAGGTTAATGGTTTGGCAGATGGAGAAAGCTGAAAAATGGTTGTTTGGAATTGTGAATCAGGCACAGATAAACTGAAAGGAAATTTTTTCAGGAATGCAGCTTTTGTAAATAAATCTACCCAAACTTAGCAATTCTGCTTTTAAAATGAAAAATAAAAACATTATTTTCAATTTCTTAGTGCACAAAATTAATTAGATAAAATCTGAAGATTCTGTTCCTCACCAAACAAGCTTCTGTGTGTCCCTGTTATCAGTTTAGTAAGTGCAAAACAACCTCCTGGAGTCTTGGCTATATTGGTAACTCAAAAGTTGTGTTGGGCAGTGAAGCCAATCACACTGTGCTTGCTGATGACCTGCAGTCATGTAATTTTAATTTATTACTTTTTTTCAAATAGAGGGAATATTACATATTTATGTTAAAAGCACACTATTGAGGCTGCAAGACCAGTGTCTCAAAAGGTAGGAAATTACTCATTTAGGTGCCAGGAGAGGAACTGGCTGCCTGGATGGTCTTACCCAAGAGGTATGTTCCTCCATGTGGGTAAAGGATGGAGTGTCCCTACTGCTTCTTTTCATTCCACAGCTGAACCCTGGGTCTCCCCAGTCCCTTTAGGTTGCTGCAGGGGGTGCTGAGAGACAATTTTACACCTCCAGCCCATGTTAACTAGCCTTGCAATGTAGGGCTTCTGGCTGGTAGAACTCACAAGCTTTCCAGACAGAAAGTCCCTGCACAATTCCTCCTCCCAACCACTTGTCCAAGAAATACTCCGTACCAAGTAGAAGAAGTCATCCAGCCACCTTCCAAGATACCGTTTTTCTATCTTCCCAATCCAAGGGTCTTGGTAAGACTGACGGGTTGCGGTGTAATAAATACTTTCCGTTGCAGAATTCACCAGGGCAAAGGGAATACAGATCCACTAGGATAGAAATGGAAACTGTTAACTGTTTTCCCAGTGTTCTTGTTCTTGGAGAACAGATATTTAGGTTAAGGTAGATGTAGGATGTAGTTACACAAGATTAACCCTAGACCTAGAGTCTTCCATTCTCCCTCTTCCTTACTCTAAATCTACATGTTTCTGGTTCATGGCATCATCAAGAACATGAGTCTGTAATTCACGTTAATTGGTATTTTCTGTAGACAAATCTCTCTCCATTCAAGATGGTTCTAGAAAGGTTCTGCAAACTTGTGTGAGCACTGTCTGAAATGCATAAGGTACAAAGACTTATGAGACTGTAATATTTTTCAGGAAACTTGTTCTCCTAAAGAGGAACTGTAGGTCAAGGAAGTTATTTTTGGTCTGAGACATGCTGAAAAGAAGAGCAGGACTTTCCCCTGTAGTTAGAAAACCGGTAGCAAAGAAATGCACAGGACTTGCCAGGCTGATGGTAATGAAAACCATCTGGATGACATCAGTGTAGGCAACAGAGTAGAGGCCTCCCAGCAGAGTGTAAAGTATGACAGTGCATGCCGAGATGGTGATAGCCAAAGAGCCTCCAATATCCAAGATGACCCTCATTGTTGCTCCTGCAGACAAGGACAACAGTCAAGTATTTTAAGACAGATTTCATATGTGCAGAATACAGGATAAATAAAGATATGTTATTTCCCTAGTGCCAGTACAACATACTGTATGAAAAATGCAGTCTACAGAGAGCGTGCACAGTGGGAACTCGAGAGAGCCCATGATTCCTTCCTTCTCTTACTGCTTCACCTTGCTGCATGGCCAATTGCCAAGGCACTCTGCCTTTTTACATCTGCTCTCCTAAAGGCAAGAGGAAGGTACAAACTCACATTAGAAGAGTTCTCTATTATAATATCATGATTGTGTAGTACTATTTGTTTTAAAAGTGAAAACATATTTTCTAGAAGTGAGAAATGCTTGTTCCTCTCACAAAAGGAGACATGAAGCACAGCTTTCCACAATTCCCAAATGTGTATTACACTCTGTCAGTCCACGTCACCTTTAACAAATATAACAGGAAAGCAAGTATTTACCGAGGGATGCCAGGATAGCTGCAAACCAGAACACCTCTCCTAGCAGTGATGGAATGAAGAGTAAGGTTCCCATCATGTTCCCATAAGTTTCTTGAAGGGGGTCCATCACGGTCACATAATTCTTTGCTCTCATTGGATTTACAAAGAAGAAACCACCTATCAGAAAGTAATGATGTTTTGGTAGAATTCTGCATGTTTTATATTCCAGGAAAAAAAAGAAGTAAGAGTAATATAGTATATGCATATCAGACCTACCTAGTGAATGTGGAATTCATATATAATGGACCCTGGAAAATGATCCAGCCAACAGACACCATGGTTTATATCCACTTGCTAAATGTGGTGTTTCATCCATTCAAGAGGTCCCTGTCGACTTATAGCTGATATTTATGGCTGTCCACTTTTGGCACACCTAGATCTTTTTGAGTGGCTACTGGAGACCAGAGAGAACCTGTGGCACCCCAAATAGCACAAAATGCCTGTGTGACTGTAACAGGAATTTAGCTCAGTGGATACCCATGTATAATCTCCTCTGCATCCTCAAAAACCTATCAATCTGAGACATAAAGTTTTCTGAAAAGCATCCCGTGGAAGATGTCAGTAGACAGAATGGAGCATTGAAGACTCATATTTGGCTAAAAAAGAGGCAAGGTTTTGTCCTTGGTCATATGATACAACTTGTTGATATATGGTCCTTTTCTGGTTACAGTTTTCATTTTGGTGGCTTCATTGTCTCTTCCCAGAACTATATTGTTTTAATCTGCACATTGAGCTGAGTCCCACCCACCTTCATCTAAATATTGGATCTCAGATGTGCAGCCATGTCATTAAAACCAAAGAATACATATTGTGTCTAACCCTGAAGCCAACAGGACTGCTTGTCTGGGCACTACTGACCTGAGCAAAGATTACAGGATCAGACCTGCACTCCTCTGTTTCATTAGTAAGAATTACTCACATAAGCAGTGCTGGCAATGTATTTCCAAGCCTGATTCATATTCATGTCAGTTGGACTCTCTTCTTTGACTTGAGAATAAAAGGTATTGTTCTTTTAGAAATTCCTGTGTAAGGTCTGCATAGGTGTCCTTGCTTTCATCATCCTGTGTCCCTAGAGAGTTATGGTATAACACAATGTGGCCTGAAAGCAACTTGGGTCAGCAAGAGAGCTGAACCTCAGCATGAGTCCAGTAATTCTCAGAGTTACAAATGGCAACTCAGGTATAGAACACTGCATACTTAGCTTAGTTTCAACAAAAAAATCAGCTTGAGATCAGCTATAAAGTGGCACAAACTGAATGCACAACACATTCATCCTGAGATGAGACTACTCAGAAGAATGCGTTTTAGTGGAAAATCTAGATACTATTATTTCATCAGACAGAAATTCCAAGGAAAAAATTAGATACCAATACTCTCAGAAGTCTGTGAATTAGAGACCATGTGAAAAAATCAATATGCACATAGACACATACTTCTAAATCCTCAGATAAAATTTTTGTCTTATAAATTACTAAAAGCAGGCAAAACTCTATATTAGCTCCAAGCTACCCTGACTTATGTTTCAGTTCAGAGGAGAGCATTATAAATGCTTCTTCTCGATATATGGGAGACTGAAAAAACAAAATCACATTTAAAATGTGCCTAATATTCTGTTACATATCTTAATAGACTCCCATGATATATTTTTAAAGCTTATGTGTCCTAATTACATTAATTATTTACCAATAACAAGGGCCAAGGCAAATCCCACAGGTGCCTGGACCCACAGTAATCCTTTTGAAGGCAGGTAGACGATTTCTGCTGTGCTGGCAATATATGCTCCTCCAACCCAGGTGGCTGTAAGCATGGGAGATGAAAAGGTCAGAATTGAGAGACATATTGTCAACTAGCCCTGCAGAACACTCTGAGAGCTTGTAAACATTTTTCTCATACAAATATTTAATTACACCTCTATTTTCTTTGCAGTTTTCTGCTATACAGAGATCTGCTGCTGACTACAGGAAATAGTATTAGAATCTCTAAATAATTTTCCAGCTTCAAGAATGGATATCTGTGTGTGTATGGAAAAGCTCAGTGTTTAAACATTTATAGGCATTTTGAATATAATAATTTTTAATTACATTTTTTTCTCAGAGGAAGACTTTTGTTAGAGGAAATGGAAATGTCTTTTGTATAATTGCCCTCACTCGAAAGCATCACTTACAGGGTCTAAGGAAATAGACATTAGAGAAAACAAATGCAAACAGGCAATGCAGTCAGATAACAAACCTACAAAAATTATTTAAGTGTTTTAACCAGGCAAATGCCACTGGGGGTTGCCTTTACAAAAAACAGGGTCAGGGAAGTAAGTTTCAGATTATGCCAGACAGCCAGGAGAGAAAAGGGAAGTTGAGGGAAACTCTCTCTTTAAGAGAGACCAATGCTCACGAGTGACAATTTATTTCACAGAGAACTGGACTTTTCTGTGAGTAAAATTCTTCTGTTAAGTTAGATAACAGAAACTGGTTCATGATTAAGACCACAGTCCTCCTTAATGAAACGTGTTGTATTCCTTTGTCACTCTTAAATTAAACTCTTAACTCTTAACTAAACTCTTAAATGAATCTCTTTAATTTAAGAGAATCTACATAAACATTAGGTTCTGCTCAGTGTGAAGAGGTTTGCAAGAATCCATCCCAAAATGATTCATGAAACCATACTCCTTTAAAGTCAGACTTAGGCAAAGTCTACCCTGACATTAAAGGAGTTAATTTCCTTTGAAAGAAAAGTCACCCAGATCTATGCAATACATGTGTTTTAAGAAGAGTTTTTAAAAGTCTTTTAAGAAAGCTTACCTGTTGCAGTAAACAACCCAATGACAACATTTATATTCCTGCCTCCAACCATGGCCATCTCTGTTGGGTTCCTGCTCTGCTGATCCTTTCTGCTTTTCCAAGAAGCCCAAATTCCAGTAGCTAAAGTTAATGTAAAAAATACACTCAGAGATATTAAGCCTGGTATATTTAGAGCCATTTTCTGTTGCTTAATTTAGGTTATAGAGAGGAATAATAGTGTGATGATAATATTCTTTGATCGAGTACACGATCTGAAAAAAATCAGTGGAAATAGTGGTGCCTTGTAAAGAAACTGCTGAGTATTTGCTGGACTTTGCAAGAAAAGAAGCAGTATGAAACAGAGTGATATGCCCAAAGGTCTGGAGAACTGGATGCAGAGTCTCAGTCTTTGGAAAAACACTGGCAATTCTGCAGCCTTCCCCTTCTCCAGTAGATAGCAAATCTTATTTTTGTGAGGAGCAAAGATTAAGAGCATAGGAATTAGTGTTGATATGCATAATGGAACACTGATGTGAGTGGTGTTACCAGATTGGCCTAAAGTAGGGGAAATGTTATATTTTGTCTGATATGAAATGGTATGAAGATAATCCATATTTCTCTGGGTTTTCGACACAAGGCTAAAGCGGAAGATAGGGCTAAGAATTTGTCTGTTTAAAGTTGACTAATCTAAACTCTCAGCAATGATCAAAATAAACCTAGGAAACAGTAAAAAAATATTATATATGGACCAATGAAGGGAGCTATCGGATGATACTCAAAGCAATTATTGGAAAGTGGTAGGAAAGCGAGGTGGTATGGGACTTTTCAATGAAACTATAGGAATGATACAGACTTTTAAACTTTGTGAAGCTCTCTGTAAACAGAAATAATTCTGGGAAAAAAACTCAAATATGCATTACAGAATTAAGTTGGTTACATTTACTGTAGAGTTGCCACACCGGTATCTTTTTAGTTGCTCTGTCAATCCTTACCATCTGTCCATGTATGGCTCTTTATAACCAATTCTGTATAAAATCTGCCCGTTTAGGGTACATGTGTGGCTTTCCTGGATATGTTTTTTCATCCGTGGAGTGGGTAGCTCCTTTCCACAGGGAAATCTCAGATGTCTTCTCCTCAGATGGACTCTGAGTGAAATGGCCAAATCTTTAGGCAGGTTTTCTGCAGTGCACCAGCTCCTGCAGACAGACAGGAGCAGCTGTGCATGGAAGTGACAGTGGCACAGGCTAAGCATATCCTCTTGGCAGGACACGGTAGGAACACACAGGCACATAGGTGATGGCTGTGAGAAGAAAAGGGGAAAAGTGCAGGAACTCCATGTTTTCTGTGACACCTCTCTGTACAAGGGGAAATAAAGGTTCTGGTAAGTTATGTAGTGATCTGGTGGGAAGACTCTATAATTAGGGTTTAAAATGAAGTGAAAGTTAAAAGTGATGAAAAAGCCTAACAACCAGATGATTACTTAACCTACCTTAAGAAAAATATTATTTTATATTTAAAATCAAATGCTATTTTCACTGAGTAATGACTTTTAAATTTGACCCAATTATTTTAAGTACAAAAAGGGACACTGTGCATTTTAAAGGCACGTTTTTTGGGGTGGTAATTAGAAACACTCCCTTCCACCTTAAATGAACCTGCTGCAAGGTCCTAGAAACTGCAGATCAATTGCCAGTGGCAGTGGAGCTATTGGTTTCTCTGGTTTGCTTTCCTAGCTCAAAATGGGTGTTCCACAAACTTTTAAAACAATGTACACACACTAAGTCTTTTTTCTATGAACAAGTGTTTTGCAGCATATTTTGTAGGCAGGAACAGGAAAAGGTTGAAGGTGCATGTGGCTGAGGGTGAATGCAGCCAGGTCTCAGTCTGCTCTGCAATCAGGCACTCCTGGGAGGACATACCTGACCTTGCACCCTTCATGTGAGGGTCAACTAAATTCAACATGCCCAAAGCAAGATTTGAACTTGACATCTGCAGATAATTTCTGGACTGACCCTGCTTCTTTTCATCTCTTGGGAAAAAAAACAAAAAAATTGTCAAGCATAAAATTCTCCAGACAAATTTAATTTAAAGACCCAGAGGGGTGGAGGGCACATGTGGTAGGACACAACGTAAGCGAAAACATCACATGAGGAGATGAAGGAGACTTAGAGAAAGAGGATGTGTAAAGTAGTTCATCTAAACCTGGAGTGTTTTTTGCTGATATACAGTACAAGGAAGGATTGTAAAAATACAAGCTTATGCCAAGAGCAGTTCCTCACTGAATCTGTTATTGTACTCTTTTGACATTAAATGACTCTCAGCTAATGCATCTATTTTAAGGGGAAAAAAAAAAAGAAATCTCACCAATTAAGAGATTTTTGAGATGGGCTTCACTCCCTGCTCAGGATGGGGGGCTTTGGGTGCCAGCTGCCATGCTTCATGCACTTCAAGCTCCCAGAGTAACCCGTGGGGAGAAATACATAATCTTAGGGGGTGATTGACTGACCTGTTTCCAGTCTTGTGAGGCAGGACAGAGTCAGGACAGGTCTCAGACTGATGAACTCAGGGCTGCTTCTAAGAGCAGTGTCACTGTACCCAGTAGATGTTTCAGAGCTTGATTTGAATGCTCACATAGAGATGGCTGCTGTCACCTGAGATGCTATAAAACCTCTGAGATGTTCACTTGGCCAAATAGAGGTTACAGTCCCTGTTGGAGACACCTTGCCCTCCTGGAATAGCAGCCAAGATAGTCTGGTGTATCTCCAGTGGTTCTGAGCTTAGGGGATACAAGTTCTTTCCAGTAGCTGAAGGGAATACAAGAAAGCTGAGGAGTGACTTTTTCCAGGGGCATGTAGTGACAGGACAAGGAGCAATGACTTTAAACTGAAAGAGGGTAGGTTTAGATTAGAGATCACAAAGAAATCTTTACTGTGAGGGTGGTGAGGCACTGGCACAGGCTGCCCAGAGGAGCTGTGGATGCCCCATCCCTGGAAGTGCTTAAGGCTGTGTTGGACGGGGCTCTGAGCAACCCAGTCTAGTGGAAGGTGTCCCTGCCTGTGAGAGAGGGTTGGAACTAGATGATTATAAGGTCACTTCTAACTCAAACCATTCTGTGACTCTACGATACTCAGTTAACTCTTAACTCTTACACCTTATTAGTTGACCTTGATGGAACAGACTCTGACATAGGTTGTTGAAAAGAAGAGAGGAATACCTGAAAGAAAGTGAGGAGTGCTGTGTACCAGTGGAGTTTTCTATGTATTGTAGAAATTACCTGCAATGTAGTGAGCAGCTTTTAAAGTTGTAAGCACTGTAGTGAGCTACTCAGCTTTGAAGCTGACCAACAGGAAGAAACAAAGATGGACAAAGCAGTGGCCTCTGTGATTAAGACCATGCCTTTCCTCTGCCTTTCTGGGTTAAATAATATTACTGCTGATAGGCTTTAGATGGCTCTCTGTGGCCCATGGGCACTTCCAGGTGAGAGAGGTCCTACAGGGAAGAGCATTTCTGAAGGCTGGCTGTCACTCCTCTGGAAAGGGACAAGCCCAAGAGCTGGTGCTCTGTAGGAGATGAAATAAAGCACTCAGAGAGTCTGAAAAGGTTTTTCATTCCCTTTGGGATTTTTTTTGAGTTTGTTTGCACCTAAGAGTTCACCTGAGAGCAGAGGCACAGGGCTGGGACTGGGACAGTAGAGCAGAGGCCAAAACACTCTGAGGTCTGCAAGAATCAACCTCTCACTGGTTTACTTTGCTCTGCAAGCTAAAAAAATTGAGAACATTGAGTCCTGGGACGTGAGGCATCTAAAACATTTGCATCAAAATGAACCAACAGCTCGTCTTGAAATGAGAGGATATGAACTAGTCTGTGGTCTCCAGCCGAGGTATTTGGATTGTGTCCTTGATCCTGACAGCTGAAACACGGGGCTGTTGGTTGCCAAACATTTACATTTTTCAGATGATGTCCCTAGTCTAAATTTTATTCCTATCTGAAGTTATTCCTAATTGCAAGTGGCTGATCTCCTGCATGAGTTTCAAATGCAGGATAAAGAGGAATAATTTGATGCAAGCCCAACATATTTAAGTCCTTCAATCAGAGCCTGTGTAGAGTGTGATTGCACAGTGAATTCATATCAAAATTACACAAATATATTTGTCTTTACATCTGGGTAGTTTTTGACTGTTAATTATTTAAATTTGATAGATACAGAAAATATAGATATATAGATAGATTATAGATAGATAGATAGATAGATAGATAGATAGATAGATAGATGGATGACTATAGAGAAAAGTTAGATATAGAAGAATGAATCCCTTAGTCTTACTAAGTTCTTCATGTATACCATACAAAAAAACATTTCAAGGACAAAATTGCTCTTTCCCTTTCCTAGGAGATTTCCCTGAAAGAATTCTTTCCATTTTGCAAAAAAACCCCAATTTAACAACTTAAAATCTCTTGTAATCCTAATTCTGAAACATGCTATCTTATCTTCAGTCAAGCCAATTCTCTGTTCAAACCAAAGTTTTTATTATATTTAATGCTGTGTAGACATTTTCTTTTGAAGCCTTGCCCACTGGAAGAGCTTGGGTTCAGAGGTCTCCCTGCAGTGCTCGGCATGAGGAGCTGCCCCTGTTGCAATGTGCTGGCCAGCTCCTGGAGAAGGCTCTGGTGACACTTCTGAGCGGACAGGCTTTGACTCATGTAGAAGGTGATTTGGGGGATCCAAAAAAGCATGAGATTAAATAATTTAATCTAATTTTAGTCACCTTTATGTATTTTCAGTAAATGAATTTTTAGCATCCTTGTGTTTGCAAGATACAACTGTTCGCTTTGGTCATCCACACCTTCATGTTGTTAGCTCCAGATAAGACTCTTGGATCTCTGGGCATCTGTGAGAGGACATCTTTGCTGCACTTCAAATGGCATCAGATGTTCCTGTCCATGGTAGACAACTGAACCTTGCTCAGAAAGGCAATGTCTCCCACTTGCCTTAGGCGTCTCTTTCAGTGTGGGCTGGGGGAAGGTTGCCTCTTCCCATCGCCTATGTATCTTGATGCCTACCCTGGAAGAGATTTCATGGTGATTCAAGTTAGATGATTTAACTCTGCTTTCTCTGTTATTCCATATTGGAGGTAGTTTGAACTCAAAAGTCCTTCAGACCACACAAATGAAGGCAGAAAATAAGTTCAGAATAGCAAT